CACACACACACACACACACACACACACACAAACGCTATCACAGTCTTAAAGGGTCGAAATCTATACGTTATCTTTCACATTACAATATTTATTTCCCAGTTGCTGCTGTACAAAGCTACAGGAGAAGCCAAGTATAAGCAGGCCATAGAGGGCACGTACAGATCATGGTTCCCTGGTGGCGACATCAAATACACACCAAAGGGCTTGGCTTTCAGACTGCAGTGGGCATCGCTCAGATACGCTTGTGAGTTGTAAAATAACAAAGTCAGAATGTTATTAAGGCATTATGTATCTATTTTTACTTTTCTTAGGAATATTTCAACCTTCTTCTTTTAAAATTAGGATATAGGTCGAAGTAGTAATAGGGGTAGTGGTGGTAGTAGTGATGGTTGTGATGATGATGGTGGTGGCGATGATGATGATGGTGGGTATCACAAAAAAAATTTAAAATCCCACATTTGAACAGCACAAAAAACGAGAAAAACCTTATCTATTACCTCGTATTACGAGAGTTTGTATAGTTACTACTTCATAGATAACTGCCGAAAGGGAAAGGTCTCACTCTTAGATATACATGTCTCGTTGTTTTTTTTAAAACGTTAGTATTAAAACAAAGTTGATTTGTGTTTTCAATGACGACTGAACGCGAGAAATAGAACTTTGTTTTGTAATACTCTCTGAAATATGCATGTGTTTTACATGCATGTATGTTTCCGTTTTAAAAAAAAAAAACGTTTATATTTAACAATAATGATGAGGATGAAAATGATGATGTTGCTGCTTCTGCTATCACTGCTGTGGTTGATTTTGTTATTGTTGTCCATGATGTAGATGGCTATGGTAGGGGCTGTATTGATTCCCTGATGTTGATAAAGATGGCACAATTATTATCCTTATCGTTTCAGCCAACATGGCCATGGGTGCACTGATTGCGGCTAAACTGGGAGTGAACCCCGGACCATACCGCCACTGGGCCATGTGCCAGATCCACTACGCCCTGGGAGACACTGGCTTCAGCTACCTCATCGGATTCGGGAACAAAGGCTATCCCCGCAGTCCACATCACAGATCCAGGTAGGTCCAATCTCTTTCTTGGTGGATCAGACGACGGTTTTAAAATTTTCGAATTATCTTTAATGATATTCCACAAGTTCCAGATTTACGGACTTCATATGGCGTAAAGGAGTAAAGAAAAGTGTTGGATTGGAACCTACAGGGTAAAAGGTTAAGGAGAAGACCACCTGGGACCTGGAGAAGAGTCACAAAAACTGATGTTCAGAAAAGTGGGAAGACGTGGAATAACATCAAGAGGCTAGCCCAGGATAGGGAGAGGTGGAGAGTGTTTGTTTGTGACTTTTACCCTGATCGAGGATGAGAAAGGCAGTGATGATCATAATGAAAGGACTGAAATGTAAAACTTTTCACAAGTTCTCATTATATATTCGGGGTTCAAATTAATTATTAAAGACGCCATGTGAAACGCCCCAAAGCTGCTGTCAGCTTCACAATCTTCAATCCAAGGACTAAGATCAAACTTTCCTATGTTAAATTTTTGAAAAGTAAAAAAAAATTCATCAAATCACTTTTAAACTCTTAGAAGTTGGCACCTCTTCTCACTAGATTTTGTTTCTTGTTATCCTTATTAATCCTAGATACCTGTTTGCTTGTACTACAGACGTATCTTCACAATATATCAAATTTTCATTTTTTTTCTTATTATGTTGATGGGAAATACTAACTTGTAGCTTGAAACGTGAATATGTTAAGATAAAAAAGCTAATGTGTGATATTTTCACCGAATTTGCTTCAACAAAACAGATAACAGGCTTACGACTTGTAATATTTAATTAATCCTAATTTCATTTTTCTCCACCCCCTAGCTCATGCCCCAACTTGCCTGCTCCGTGCGGACCGTTCGTCCGGGCCAGCAGTGAGCCCAACGTTCATATACTGTACGGAGCTCTAGTCGGAGGTCCTGGAGGTGGCGATGATTACTCCGACAACCGTATGAACTACGTCAATAACGAGGTGGCCACAGACTACAACGCCGGGTTTACAACCGCTATTGCTGGTGAGTCAGTGTGTGCGTGCGTGCGTATATGTGTGTGTGTGTGAGTGCGTGTTTGTGAGTGTGTGTTTGTGTATCTGTGAT